GGTCGTATGTAAAAACTTTCAACTTTTATTCTATTTGTGCTGGAGGTGACAGTTTTTATTCTGCTTTGATATAAGTAGTGTGCTACAATGGGAAATAGCAGAGGACAATAAAATATGAAATTATACTAATAAAGCATTAAGATATAATGAGGTTTTATGCTCTCTTGTAAAAACTGACTACTGATATAGTGAACTGCATATTCAGCACTAGCGGATCCAGGATTTAATTTCGAGGGGGGGGGGAGCTTCAGCCCGAAAGATTTTTTTTCATATATATAACGATAATTAGTTTGAAAAAAAAAGAGAAATAAATAAACTACCTATATGAAATGGCGTTTAATTGATTTTTAAAGTCCTATTCAATGTAATTACATAAACAATAATACTTTAAGAGATAGTTTTTAATATTTTTTTCTATAAAACATCGTTACATTTCACCGTTTTGCGGGCTTTAGCCCGAAAGTCCCCCTCCCCCCGTAAATCCGCCTGTGATATTCAGTATGCATTGATATTTCAATATGGTAGAATAATCAATATGGAATCTTCAAATACGGTACTCTGATATTTATACGCCCAATGCCCGGCAGTAATACCTAGTTTGTAATAAGAAATACACTTAAATCTTGTAATCCTAATCTACTGGCGTATTTCGTTGCAATTATCATCTCTCAGTTAGCGGAAGTGGGTTTCCTTGTTTATTTACCAATAGCAAGAAGAGAAAGAGAGTGATATATAAGAGAAAGGGAGAGAGATGGGGGAGGCTGCGAGGAGCGTAAATAAACCTTAGTCGATCTGTGAAACCTTGAAGTAGGTCAGAAGGTTGGCGAACCTGTTTGCGACCCGGAGAGGAGCTATTTAAGCCTTCGCGAACCCTCCCAGCGGCAGTCATGTTGTTGCTGCTGACGCTGCTCTCCTGGGCCGATGCCAAGACCTACCAACCCTGCGAGCTGGCCCAGGAGCTGATGGCCAAAGGGGCGTCCAAAGAGGAAGTGCCCACCTGGGTCTGCATAGCCCAGCATGAGTCCAACTTCAACACTTCCGCCGTCGGCAGGTTGAATGGCGACGGCAGCGCCGACCACGGGATATTCCAGATAAGTGATCGCTATTGGTGCTCCCCCCAGGGTTGGGCTTGCAACATACCCTGCGACCTCTTGGAAGACGATGACATCTCTGACGATTGGAAATGCGCCAAGAGGATATTCAGGCAGCACAAGGTACTCAGTGGAAATGGATTCAACGCTTGGGCAGTTTACTCTTCTAGGTGTTCTGGAGATACCAGTCAGTATGTAAGTGGATGTTTCGATAAAGCGACTTCTGATTCAGATACTAAAAACACAATTAGTTCCACTACTATTTCTACAACTTCGACTACTACTTCAACAACTGCTTCTTATGAAGAACCTGAACGAACAGCAGAGTCTTTCAGTGCTCGAGAAGGAAACAATGCAGAGAAAGTGCAAGTTTTAGATTTAGAAATGATGGAGAAAAAAGGAAAATCTTTGGTCAATAAGCTGACGGCATCAAGAAAAATGTGGAAACCATGGACTTGGGAAATATATCATTAAGAAATGGTAAACAAAAACCTTTTATAATTTAATTTAAATTTCATATTTAAGTAAGTAGTGACTCATGATATTTATAAAAAAAAATCTGTTGTTATAAAAATATCTGGGACCACTATTGAAATCATTATATTCAGAAATTATTTATGTAAATATGTTTGTGTGCATCTTTAATATTTATTTATATAATTTAGAATGTATAAAACTTATTTATTAAATTATTTAATTTATTAATGTAAATTATTATCCTACCGAATCAGTAAAATAAAGCTAGTTTTTAGAGAAATACTGTAAATCTGAATTATATGTATTTTCATGCCAAAGAGTGTGCAATTTCATAAAAATTTCTATATAACCAGAAATAGTGTAATTATTATTTCCCAGTTCCTTAATTCAGCTATAGATAAATAAATAATGTTTGAACTAACATATCTGAGTATCTATTTTCCAGTTTTGACCTTTTTCCAAATTACATGTTTACTATATATATATATATATTTTTTTTTTTGCAAAAAGGCCTATCTAATAAATAATCAAATTTAGTTTTTGATTTTTGTTTATTAATGAAAGCTTCAGGGAATCATTTCTCCCTCTATTCAGATATGCTATGCCCCTAAATCGGGTAAGTCTAATTTACTAAAGTGTTTTGTCTTACTTACCTAATTTTGGGGCATATCATATCTGAAGAGGTGAGAAAAGATTTCCTGAAACTTTCATTAATAAACAATAATCAAAAACTAAATGTGATTATTTATTAGATTCACCTATAAGCAAAAAAAAAAAAAAAAAATAGTGAAAAGATATCTGATTGTGTTATTCAGTTGCTTTTAGTAATGAATATTTGGATAATTAATTAACCATGTATTATGAAAATGAATGAATAATGGAAGTTACTTTTCTTTTCAAAACAAAACGTGTCAAAAGATATCAAAACAACACTATAAAGTATTCATAAGCAAACTACCATTATAACATGGTGCATTTTATACACTTATTTCTTATTTTATTATTTTTTTTTTTTTAATCTTTATTGTTCAATTCACAATTGTCAGTATACATATACAATCAGGTAGGTTTTAAGGTATTGCAGAAATAAAAAGTTGTTTTTTGAGTTGCAAAAGAAATCTATTCTGAACTTTGTCTGCTGACAATGAGTTTATGCTATATTTTATTCCTAAGTTATTTTCATTTACTTCTTTATGTAATGAGTACAGGAAACAATTGAACACTTAAATTTAATGTTAACAATTAAATTTTAAATGAATAGTGATATATTTTCATTGGAAATACTTTAGACAGTAGTTGCATCCTAGAATACAGATGATATCAAATAAAAAATAATATATGAATAATAATTGTATTATGATATAGTTAATTAATCAATATATTCAATATAAATTTCCGAGGGAAGAGGCTGCCATAGACCACAAAGTGATTAAGTTATGCCTAATTTTATGAAATTAATAATTCTATTTAGTTTACAGAACAATAGGTATTTAAAAAAGTAATTGAATGATTCAGTTGATCAAATTACAGAATAAACACTGATTATTTTTTTCATCTATCATCATTCATTCATGAAGAATCAAGGCATGCTGTAGTTTGGTCCGCTGGTCATCCCCACAAAGTAACTACAACTCTCTAGTTGAAGATACCCAAGAAAGATCTATAGATCAGTCACTTCTTCATTCATGGATTCTCCTAGAAATCAGTTATGGGCTCGTTCTAACTATATTGAACTGCCCATCTAAGAACAACATAACTGTCAAATTTTAACTTTTCAAAAGAAATAAAATTTTTTTTTGTAAATAAATTTTAATAATATTTAGATAAGTTTTCTTTTTAATGATGACTTGCTATCGATTGACTTGATATCCAGGAAAAAAATGACAAATTTCTGTGCATAAAGTTTAATTTAAAATAAAAGAATAAAAAACACTATCCCTCATCTATTTTCCGTTGAAACCTATAGGTTGCTTTAGTCACTTCTTTAATATTTCCCCACTTTGACCATTGCTATACGGTATACGGGGAGGTCTCTGGGGACCTCGAGGTGAAACTAAAACGTTTGATAAATTTCTTTATACGATTCATCTTCGGGATCCCACGGGACACCTCTGTTTCCCATTTTTATGCAGAGCTGAAATGGCTTTATCCTTTCTACCGTCGTAAGTATTTCCTAGCATCCTTCCTCTTTCAAGTCATCCAATCCAGCCGTCCTTCATACAGCTCCATGCTTCTTCAATTCAAATCCTCTGTTCGTTCCCGCAATACTCGTTCCTGGTCTTCAGATTTATACACAAGGGCCCACTGAACCGCTGTTTTTGACAGATTGTTCATTATCCTATCCTTATCCCTACAGAACTCCATCCCTTTCCACATCCGTCTATTTGATGCCCTTTCTACATTTAAATACTGCCTCAGTAATAAGTACTACTGTAAATATGTATACCAATTATTAGATTGTCCTTGAGTTTACTTCATGTTTTTTTTCATTTTATTTGTTATTAACTGATTAAAATTAGAAAGTAACCTATAATTTTTTTATTTTTTATATTATGACCATATAATTACTGTGTATTTTTGTTTATGTATCTCTGAGGGTCTTTAGAACACATTCTGTCATTCTTTATTATTCTAAAGGGACTCGTTCCAGAATAAATAAAGCATTATTATATTAATATGTACTTTGGGGGTTTGGCATTGCGAACTAGGATATGATAGTGAGTAGAAAGAATGAAATAACTAACAAATCCTATCTAGACTCTATTCAACTAGATTAGGGGTCCACAAACTTTTTGGCCAGCGGGTCACATTGTTTTAGTGATTATTTTCTCACAAGAAATCATTATATTCATTATTTCACTGATTTTATGACACATTTGTTTTTCTTCTTCTTTGTCTTCCTCGCAATGCCATTTCTAGCATCGAGGAGTCTCTATCCAATACAGCCACTCTTCACAATGTCCCTTTGGCCGCATTTGGATCTCCATCTAAGTCCCTTAGGCCATGGCTTGTGATGAATTAAAAATAATCTTGCTCTATAAATAAGCCTTCAGTTGTATAATGAGCTTTCTAAGAAAATAAAAACAGGCAAAAAATGTTATAGTAACCTCTTGTGTGAGTAATGTGTTAAATTTCATATTTTTCTTAATTGTTTATAAAATTTTATCATTTTAACTTTTGTGGGCCGGAGTGGAGGTGCTTGCCGGATGCTGCTTTGGAGACCCCTCAACTAGATGATAACTTGTTATCTAATATTTTTCTCCAGTATATCTTCGAAGCTTTACAAAAAAACAAAAGAAATATGGCTTAGGACAATATTTTAAAATGTTTTATCAATCACTATAATAGTTTGATAATCATAGAAGAAGAACAATTTCTAAAAACAATATTAATAGTTTTCAAGCATTTGTTAAAGTTGTGATTTATTTGCAGGAGCTCCAGTTATATTATCAAATCCACATTTTTATGGTGCGAGTGAAAATTATAAATCAGCAGTGAAGGGATTACAACCAGAAAAGAATCTTCATGAGTCCTTTTTAGAACTTGAACCAGTAAGTAACTCTTATTCATTTATATTATATTTGATTTAAATTCAATAAGAGTTTTTATTCTGGGTACCATGGGCATTTTGTAGATCATTAGAACTATGAAACCAAAATGTAATAAAGCCTTACTCACTAAGAATATTTTTTAAATAGCAATTTAACATTATATATTACTCAATATGAAGACTGAACTCATAAAGGGATATTAAAAAAGATCAATAAGAGTTTTAGTGATTATTTTCTCACAAGAAATCATTATATTCATTATTTCACTGATTTTATGACATATTTGTTATTCTTCTTCTTTTTTATCTTCCTCGCAATGCCATTTCTAGTGTCAAGGAGCCTCTATCCACCACAGCCACTCTTCTTATTCTCTGCTTAATCGTTTCATTTGGTTGAAGGATTTGCCTCTTCTACCTCCGATCCTCTTGTGGTCTCTTCCCTGCGGATTGAGTCTCTAATACCTTTATAGAGTCTATGTCCTTGTTTATGTGGCAGACATATCCAAACCACTTTAGTTGCCTGTTGCCCAAAGTGGTTTTGAGTTCAGGCACTTCCAGCTGTTCTCTTATTGTTTCGTTTCTAATACGATCCCTCCTAGTTTTTCCCACCAATCTATGTAGGAACCGCATTTCCGCTGCTGTTATGCGACTTTAATGTTTGTCCAACATAATATAAAATGTAATATCGACCCTGTGGCCAGGGAACCCTTCTGGGGCATACTCAGCTTCTATAAAGTGGGTACTCTTAATTAAATAATTAATTAAGGAGAAAAACCTGGCAGTTGAACATGATTTCAGCCTAATCACCTTCCTGCACAACCTTGGCCTTTTAACAGTTGAAACTAATAACTAGCTTTAACTAACTAATACCATTTAATAGGCTTAACTAATAACTGCTAGGGTCAATTCTTTTGATTTTAAGCCCTAAAATCCCAAAGACCCCAGTATGCTTTAGACAATACCAAAAGTGTTATGATATTTACTGAAAGTGGACTATTTTATTTTTATATCCATATATTTATTGAAAAATAAAGAAAATCAACTATAACATTTTTTTCCTCTATATTCGTGAATTAATAATATTAACTTTTTTAAAAAGATGCTGTGTGAACTTTTTTATGTTTCATTTTTATATTTTATTAAATTAAGCATTTGATTTTAATTTCTTGCATGGCTAAAGTTGTGAAGTTGCTTTAGACTACAAGATATTAATGATGATTATTATTAATCAATAATTCTACTATATATAATTTATTGATACTTGTAATACGAACAGTTCTTTCTATAGTAATAATCCTGGATTCATCAATATGAAAAATCTCCATAAACTAAATTAATTAATTATAATAATAATTCATTATAAAACAATAAATAAAATAATAAATATAAGAGAGGTTAAATAATGATTTCTTGATAAGTAAATTGAAATTGATTGCAGACAACAGGAGTTCCGCTACAAGGAAAGAGAAGGATTCAAGTTAATGTAAATGCCCAAAAGAGGACCGATGTTAAGCTACTACGTAATCACGTGGATGCAGTCATACCAATGATGTGGATAGATGAGGTACTATGATTACATTTGCAACTTAAAATTTTAAACTGAGAAATTAATAACCTTATTATACTCAGCCTATTGTTTAATTGTTTAAAAGATATTTTATTGGTTAAGTACTTAAAATATTTATTCATAATTAAATATATTTCAGTATAGTTAAATTGATTTTTTTTTCTTTTTTAGGGAGCTTCATTAGGTGGTAAAGAAATTTCCTTACTCAAAGATCAATTACTTTTTGTCATGAATATTGAAAATATTGGAAGGTGGATTCTCTTTTCAGTCGGTATTCTTTTCTTAGTCATTGGAGTCAGTATGGCTATAATTCGAAAACGACAAGAAGATAGTGATATCTATGACTTGGAAGAGGATTAGTGATAATACTCTTTGGTTTAATTTATCCATTACAAAAAAAATTAATTTATTCTTTTAATTCAAAATTTGGAAACAAATACAAGACTCTTTCAATTGGTCTTCATAATTATATACACTGTTAGGTTGTAATAGAAGATTCAATTGATTCATGACACCATACTGAACTTTTAAAGATCTAAATTCATATTTAAATATAGTAAATTATAAATAAATGTATATTTATACATACATTGTTATTTTTATAATATAATAGAATTACTGCATAAAATTTTTATTCTATTTATTAAGAAGAGATGATTAATAACCATATACTTATAATAAAATAAGAATAGCTTGAATTCTATTAGAATGATTGCTCATTTTTTGAAATATCATTTCCAGTTTAAAAGGTTAATTTAAAAATAAATAAATAATGTGTAATATATAATTAATACTTATTATATTCATCAGGTAATAGGTCACATATATTGAATGAACTTAATACATTTTAATATTTTTTATTTATTTACTTTTCGACCATTTCTTTCATTACATAGGAAATGGGATCCTTTTGAGTATTATTATATTGATCACCAATATTCCAAGGCATGTAGAACCCTGAGTACCGATGAATACTGATACTGATAAATATTCTGGGAGTTTGATGTGGTTGTCGGCGTTCTAACTGCATTGGGGTAATGGTTTTCAATTTAATAATACTGAAGAGGATCCCATTTTTCATATAGCAATTAAGTAGACTCAATATACGTGACCTAATGCCTGATAAATATAATAATTATTAATTGTAGTTTTTATAGGTTGATTATAAAATTTGTACTATATTATTTTTTTATTAAAGTTTTAAATAAATTAAAGTAGAGTTTCTATTAACCAAGAGTTTCTGTTATTATTTAATGTAATGTTCACGATGAAGTTTATTGATATTTATGACTTTAAAGTAACGATAAGAATCATGCGCGGGCTTTCGGGATGAAGTCCCCCATAATTAAATTCTGGATTCGCTAGTGATGAGAATGCACAGTATAATCAGAAAAGTAGACTGCAGTGCTTAAATATTTTTGTTAATTGCAAACCTTTTGCCTTACATTGGTTTAAATTGTCAGAAATTTTCTAAATGAATATAATATTTGTTGTTGTTAATAGGCATAAAACCCTCAGGTCATCAACACCTGAATATAATACATCTACCATATTTTAAGCCACAGAGCTATCAGATAAAAAAGATTTTTATTAAAATTGTAAATAAAAAAGTTATGGCAGAAAAGTCAATTACAAGGTTATCAGGTAAGTAAAAAGTAAAGGCCATTTATGTAAGTAATATTCACAATTATTACTGATAAAGTACTGAATATATTCTGACAGCTTCATCTATAGAAGCCAGGAACCACTCAGAAACCAGGAAATACAATTTATATATATATATATATATATATATATATATATATATATATATATATATATATATATATAAAATAGGCCACAGTAGTCATATTTTATTTTGAGCATTTAACCTTTTTAATTTAGATTTTCCACAAATTAAAAGGATAAAATACTAAAAATAAAGGTAACGACTGTGATTTTACTAATGTGAGAGCTCTAGCCATCTATAGTTCAGTGGGTGAGCACTGGCTTCCAAAGCTCAAGGATCCAGGTTCGAATCCAGCTGATGATTAGTACTTTTTCATCAGCCATGGTTCAACCCTGGGGTCAGGGAACCTTTCTAGGGCATACTCTGCTTCTATAAAGTGTGTACTCGTAATTAATTAAGGAGAAAAACCTGGCAGTTAAACGTGATATTGGCCTAATCACCTTCCTGCACAACCGGTGGTCTTTAAACAGTTGAAACTAATAACAAGATTTAACTAATTAATATTGTGGTCTATTCTATTGATTTTAAGTCATAAAACCCCAAAGATCCCAATATGCTTTAGACAATGTCATAAGTGTTATGATATTTCCTGAAAGTGGACAATTTTATTTTTATATACATATATTTGTTGAAAAATAAAGAAAATCAACTGTAACATTTTTTTTCTCTAAATTCATTAATTAATAATATTAACTTTTTAAAAAAGATTCTGTGTGAACTTTATGTTTTATTTTTAATCATGAATTAATGTAAGCATTCAAGCTTAATTTTTATTTTTATTTTTTTTTTAAAAAGCATTTTTTTTTTATTTCTTGCATGGCTAAAGTTGTGAAGTTTCTTTAGGCTACAAGATATTAATAATAATTATTATTAATCAATAATTCTACTTTATATAATTTATTGATACTTGTGATACCTACAGTTCTTTCTATGGAAACAATATGGATTGATCATTATGAAAAATCTCTATAAACTAAATTCAACTTAACTTGTAACATGTCCCACCTTGTAAAGTATTAAATTATTTTAAAACAATAATTTTAATACACAGATCTTTTTTTTTCTAAGCAATACTACAATAAAACAAGAATAACACTGACCATTTGCCCACTGGGTCACTAAAACTTGGATTTCTTGGAAGGGAGCCAATTAAGAAATTTCAAAACCTTGTAGGTATCAATGTTTCAGAATGTTTTTATTAATTTTTTTTTCTCCAGTGGTGCCTGGATATATACAATTATTGAGTGGAGTGGGCAAGATCTTAATTTTAAAATAGTTTTATCTATTATTTTAAGTACTGTAAGTTTCTAATTTATCCTCTGTAATTATTTTAAATATAATATTAATCAGTTTTCTTTACTAAGTAATTTTCAATAGTTGTCACATTTATACATTTAGTGTCAGCATATTAATTATTAGAATGAACAAGTTAAACCAGTCATAACGTTTTAGCCAACCGGGATCAGGGGGTGTGGAAGAGATTAATGCCAGAGTTAAAAGTCCCCACCTGAGCACAGCCACCCAAACTCGTAATTATTTTTACTCAATTATTTTTGATCTGGGTTACTGGACAACCAGTGGTGCTGTGCATTACTCATTAGCCTGTGGGGCTCTACTAACAACAAATCTGTTAATGTTCATCAATTTCACATATATTTACTGATATTTTGTTTTTTTCCTGTGTTGTAAGTTGCCTCCACTTGATCCTCCCAACCATATGTCCCAGAATATTTAAATAAAAAAGAATGTTTTTTTTATATTCTAATTTGTATGGTTTTACTATTTGTAGCTTTGTGATTCAAGGTTATTTCATATGAATTCAAATTTGACCACTGATAGAGTAACATTTGTGATTTAGTCTTTCCAAAATCATGTACTTAGCTCCAAATGATTTTTTTTTCATTTATATTTTTTAAAATTTCAATTGATTCTATAACCACATAGACCTTTCGATTCACGGTGTAGTCTTAAAGACATATATTGCTTGTATCGATAGTGTTTTAACATAAATAATAAAAAAATGTGAAATTCTTAGCCCCCTGCTGCCCACAGGTATGTGTACAAAACACCCGTTGCTGGGCAACCTTAACATCACGTGATAAAATAATTACGAGTTCGCCTACCGGTGCCGTGGTGGTTTTTAAATCAGGCATTAATCTCCTACTCTCTATCCTGGCCCAGGAAAATCCTGGTAGAGCCGAAATGGCGAGGAAGAAAAAAAAAATTAAAAATTAAACTTAAACGTATAAATATATGTGCTTTCAAACCTCTCTTTGTATATACAGCTGATGTGGTTTTTATTGCCTTCCTTCAAAAGAATAAAGAAGGTTTGTGTTATGTTAATAGTCATAACGACTTTTTGCATTGATGATAAATATGATCGAAATTCAAAAATGTGTTTTTAAAGGTTTCGCTACATTAAAAATTCACTTCAAAAATAAAAAATTCAATATTTTGCCAGACAATAATATCTGTTCAAAGTAGAGCGGTAAGTGAAATTTGTGTGATGCGCGCACCAGATTGTTTTATTTGTACCGTTTTTAAGAAGAAAGCAATCAATTTCCTTTGAACGGAGACATATACATATAGGACATATACATATAGGAATACGATCAGCATTGCAAGGAATGGGCATCTCGCAAAACCCATGCTCAAATATATATTGCATATCCCCTTTCAATATTTACTAACATATGTGTTTAGACGTCATAAATATAAATATGATCTATGAAATATGATCATAGATATATATCATCTTATCTCTTCTGCCCTGACAAAACCTGAATTGACGATACCTTGATGGGTTGTTTTGTTTTGTTTTCCATTTTAGGGACACACACTAGCGGATCCAGGATTTAATTTTGGGGGGGCTTCAGCCAAAAAGATTTTTTTTCATATACATATAAGGATAACTAATTTGAAAAAAAAGAAAGAAATTAACTACCTATATGAAACGGTGTTAAAATGGTTCTTGAAGTCCTATTAAATGTGATCAAACGAACAAGAATACTTTAAGAGATAGTTTTTAATATTTTTTTCTATAAAACATGATTATGTTTTCCCATTTTTTGGGAGTGAGAAGGGAGGGGGGGGGGAGAGGCTTCAGACCAAAAGCTCCTTCTCCCTCCTCTTCCCCCCCCCTGTAGATCCGCTTGTGGGGACACATAAGCATAGGCGCAGATTTTTCGATTTTGATTGGAGGTGGGAAAGCGGCGTACCAAAAAAAAAAAAAAGAAATGATGAGAGTTTTCATTATTGCAAAAATTTAACATAATTATTTTGAAACGAACGAGTATAATAATAAATATTTACAATTAAGTTGTTGATATTTTTGTATAGTTAATAAGGATTTTTATTTATTTATTTTTTTTTTACTTATACATGCTTGAAAATTTCTAAAAAAAAAATACAATTGAGTGTATAACATATTTCTTTAGTTTAAACACCGGGCTGAAGAGAGACAGCCTTCATAACATTGTTACATTTGTATAACTTTTTCAGCTAAAAATTAATAAAGTAAAAAGTGAAAAATATCTTTAATTTTGTAGTGTGTTCAACTTCAAATAAAAATACGTTTATCACAGTCCGAATAGTTTTTCGGAAACGATAAGAATATCATGTGGAAATCGATGGCTGATTGAATCATAAAATTTGAGGATATGTTGATATATATTGTTATCTTTGAATATAGTTACATAACAATACTAAGCCCTAGTCTAGTCAGCTAATCGACTTTTCTTAATCGATTTTAGTTTAAACATTTTATTCATTCATGTAGCTCTTTATTTTTTTTTTTAAATTGTTTTTTACCTCAAATTATTGGGGGGATGGAAGGAACGATATTCTCGTCCCCTCAATATTTTTATTGGAGGGGAGAGAGCTATATTTTTTTATAAATTTAAAATTATAATCAAGAGTTCAAACTAGCAACTTAGATTTCCTAGCGTCGAATAATCAGACACTAGTAACGTCTTTTTTCTGTGATTTTTCATCGCTCTACTCATTCTACGATAAACTAATATACTAATAAGGATTCAATCTCTTCAAATGTAATATAGATTTGAAAATGAGCATATCCTGAATAAGGCGAAATATTAAAATAGTCCGTAATGGAGGTGTCAGGTGGAGGTTTGGTGGGGGCCGTACGTTGGCTCAGTCTAGTCTTCACAGTCGGAGCTGACCAAGGTGAGCATTCTTCTCTTCTTAGCACAATTCCAAACTCAATCCTTATCCTCATTCCTTCATATCGGCTGCCAATATCAAGGACCTTCGATCCTTTATTGACGAAGGACAGGACATACTACACCATTCCTCAGCATCTTGTCTCCTCCTCCGATCAACAACAGTGCAAAAATAACTTACGTCGAAAGGATATAAGTGTTCCTGCCTGTAACGTAATTTATATCACTCTATTATAAAACCTTAGGTCGAAAGAAATTAATCAGCCAGTTGGAAAATAAACCTGGCAGATATCGTAGCCAGAATTGTTCACATAGATATTTAGGTGGGGA